GCCCCTCGCCCGCCAGCCTCGGAGCCCAGCGGTGGCCCAGCTAAATATACCCGCTGACGTCACTGCTCCGCCGGGGGCTTCTCAGGCTGCCCTGGAATTCGTGCTTTGCTTCCGGAAGATCAGCTTTCCCGGCCGCTCTCAGGGATGCAGTCTTAGACGATGGTATCTGCTGAGGTGTGAGGGGAGGCCCTTCTCTCCCCAGGGGAGTTGGGGAGCTGCAGCCTGGTCTCCATGGCAACCGGTTTGCTGCCTGCCTGTCTCCAAGGCGCCCCTCCCCCTACCGGGCTTCTTCCCAGAGCCCCTTCCTGTCAGTGGGGGAGAACAGAGAAGCTTTCCTCCCCACTCCGGACCCCTCCCCGTCACATCCCCCCTCTGCCAGGAGAGCTGTGTTCACACCCCTCCTGGTGCCCCCCAACCCCCGGGCTCCCCACCCTGTAGACCCAGCCCCCCCATGTCCTTGGGCCTTGACCTTGGATGCCTCCAGGGACCAGGCTGACAGCATGAAAGAGGAAGTGGCTGGGACAGTGAAACCGCCAGCTGCCCGTGGGCCTCTGTTGGGGGCAGTGGGTGTGGTGGGTCCGAGGCACAGTGTAGAGTCCACGCTCCATGTCACGGGTGGCTGGTGACGCCACTGGGAATGTTGCCCGGCTCCCGGAACCACAGCTCGCTGCGGCAGGAAGGCTTCTGCGGGCTGGGCCTTAGGGTCGTGCCCCCCGCCACCCCCGACATATGCACACGGCAGTCCCCACGTTCATGTGTGTACACATCACACACGCCTTCCTTCTCTCCCTTCGTCTTTGCCTCTCACCTTCCTCCCCTCCCCCTAAAGCCAAGAGACTCCCTGGGCTGGGAGCTGCCCCTGCCCCTGCCCCCGGGTGCCCCAGCGGCACCGCGGGCCAGCCCTCGAGGACCTGGCGGTCCAGCCGATCATGCGGAGCAGACAGATAAAAGCAACACGTGCCCCAAGCGGTGGTCAGGGCATGAGAACGCGCCAGGGTGAGAGGAGGGATGGGCAGGGGCTGTTCTCTCCACGGCCATGGACGGCCCCGGAGGAGGTGATGGCCGAGAGCAGCTGCAGGAAGGGAGGCAGGCGAGCAGCAGGTGCACAGGCCTGTGGTGAGCAGGTGACAGTGGGAGCCTGGGAGCTGGTTGGAGGAGTGAAGTCAGGGAGGGTGTGTGAGTGTGAGTGTGAGTGTGTGTGTGTGTGTGTGTGAGTGTGTGAGAGAGTATGTGTGAGAGTGTGTGTGTGTGTGAGAGAGGCTGAGCCCTTTGGGTCCCCAGGCCCACAGGAGGGAGAATAATGTATGTTTTAAGAGCGATGAGAAGCTGTTGGTGATGTTTAGTCTGCACGGGGATGGGGAGGACGCAAGAAATGGTCCGATTTGCACTTTAAAGAGCTTCTCTGCTTGATGGGGAGACTGGACCCAAGGGCTCGGAGTGGGGGCAGGAGGCCTGCTAAGCCCGAGGCCGTAGCTGCGCCAGGTGAGGGCGATGGGGCTTGTGTGGGGCGGCCACGGCCAGCGGAGAGGAGCAGTGTCCGGCGGACCCACAGGGAGTGTGGGAACAGGACACCTCCGTCTTGGTGTGAGGGAGCGGGTGTCCATGCTGCCGGGTGTCATGTCCGAAGGTGGATGCTGTTGGCAGGACCCTCGGGGGCGCTCTCCCCGCTGGAGCCTGCTCTTGGTCCAGGCAGGTATGACCCTCCTGTCCTGAGGCGGCGCCGCCTCTTCCTGATTTGGGCGGGGGACGGAGCAGCACGCGGTGCCCTAAACCAGTGGTCAGCAAACTGCGGCTCGCGAGCCATATGCGGCTCTTTGGCCCCTTGAGTGTGGCCACGAAGTTTCAATCGCACTGTACGTGCGCGCCCGCACGTGGTATTTTGTGGAAGAGCCACACCCAAGGGGCTGCAGTTTGCTGACCACTGCCCTAACCCTCTCCCCATGTCCCACGCAGAGCGGGACGCCTTCGACACCCTGTTCGACCACGCCCCGGACAAGCTCAACCTGGTGAAGAAGGTAAGTCCACCACGGCGTGTGCTTCCTCGGCCGTTACCGCCTGGTGTGAGGGGGCGGGTGTCCATGCTGCCGGGTGTCATGTTGGAAGGTGGATGCTGTTGGCAGGACCCTGGGGGTGCTCTCCCCGCCGGCCCCTGCTCTCGGTCCAGGCAGGTGTGACCCTCCTGTCCTGAGGCGGCACCGCCTCTTCCTGGGACGGGCGGGGACAGAGCAGCTCGCTGTGTCCCTAACCCTCCCCGTGTCCCACCCAGAGCGGGACGCCTTCGACACCCTGTTCGACCACGCCCCGGACAAGCTCAACCTGGTGAAGAAGGTAAGTCCACCACGGCGTGTGCTTCCTCGGCCGTTACCGCTCGGACTCCGGGCCGGGAAGAAGGTGGGGACGTGTGTGAAGTCTCAGCACATGTGCCACGCGGGTTGGAGTGGGATTATGATGACAACGTAGTGACAGGCCATAGAGTCAGCGGCTCTGAGCTCAGTGTCTCCGAGCCCTGGGCACCGTCCCGCTCACCTGCCCGCGTCTGTGGGGGGAGTCCCCGCCCAGGCTTCCTCTCCGTGGGAAATGTTTTCACGCGTGTCAGCCGCCGGCTCTTGCTGGCCTCACTCCCTCGAAGCTGTGTTCCAGCCGGCTCCGTACGCGGGAGGCCTTGGCCCAGAGGTGCCGCGTGGCTGTGGCCGCCTCCCCTCAGACAGGAGCGCAGAGGACCGGCCTCCCCATCAGCCACGCCGCGGATGGAAAACCCGCTCGAACCCGAGGCTCTGGAGTCGGGGCTGGGGAATTCGGGGGGTGGGGGCTCGTCTGCCAGGAAGGCCTGTTCTCCCAGGAGGAATGGCGTCTCGCCCCGGGCGCGTGCTCACCTGACCCTGCGGACGTCTCGCTGCGCACGGCTTCCTGCGGTCCCGTCGAGTCTGGGCCGTGATGTCTGCCAGTGACTCAGGACAGAGCTTTGTCTAGGACAGTTTCCCCAAACACGGTTCTTTCTTTTTTTGTTTTAAATATGCTTTATGGGTTTGAGAGAGTGGGGAGGGAGAGAGAGAGAGGGAGAAGCATTGATTTGAGAGAGAGAAACATTGACCGGCAACCCTCCATATGCACCCCCACTGGTGATCGAACCCATAACCAGGCGTGTGCCCTGACTGGGAATCTTCAGTCTTTCGGTTCATAGGACGACGCTCCAGCTAACTGAGCCACCTGGCCAGGCCCAAACCGTTTTCTTAATGCAGGACTTGTCAGAGCCTTTACGATGCTGCCATGCCTGGAATTCTCTGAGAGAGCGTGACAGGAAGCGTTTTCCAAGCTTGTTTGTCAGCAGTGAGATGCATGATCTATGTATTTGGGGTCGGACACATCACACCCTGTGGAACCGCCTTTGGAAGGTGCTGGTCCAAGTGGGGCAGTGGGATCCGCAGGTAGTTCTGGGACACGCTTTGCAGAAGGCCGCGGATCATCCCGCTGGCCCTCCGGGGTGGAGCCTTCTTGCCATCTTTGCGTCATGAGGGACAGACCTCAGTCAGGCCTCCAGGCAGTGCCCCACTCCCGCGCTGGCCACACCTGGCCCCAGGGCCCTGCCAGGGCTGGTTCGGTGGACGATTTATTTTATTTTATTTTATTGATTTTTTTATAGAGAGGAAGGGAGAGGGATAGAGAGTTAGAAACATCGATGAGAGAGAAACATCGATCAGCTGCCTCCGATCAGTTGCCTCCTGCACACTCCCTACTGGGGATGTGCCCGCAACCAAGGTACATGCCCTTGACTGGAATCGAACCTGGGACCCTTGAGTCTGCAGGCCGACGCTCTATCCACTGAGCCAAACCGGTTAGGGGGGCTCGGTGGATTTAAATCTGGCTTCCCACTCATCAGTTGTGTGCCCCGCCTCAGTTTCCCCATCTGTCGTGTAGGACAGAGGCAGCCGCCGCCTCGCAGGGGTGCCGTGAGGGTAAAGTGTGCCCATGTCCGGCCAGGGTCCGGCACGCGGCACTCGGTCACTAGGTAGCGCTGACCGGCTGCGGCCTGGGTCAGCTTAGCTTCCGTCTTCCAGGAGAAACGATCCTAACTCGTCCTGCGAGAGGACGTCTTGGGCATTGGCTGCTTAGCACCGAACAAGACAAAGTCCTTCCATCTGCCCGACAGCTTCCCGCTTCCAGCCCCCACACTGAGCTGCTGTGAGGGGTTCCCTGTACCCCAGACTTAACTGCAGGGGACCCTGCCCCCCTGTCCAGGTCTTCCCAGTCACCCCTCCTACTCTGTCCCATCCACCCACATCCGGCCGCAGCCTGAAGGTCCCGAAGGTTCGCACTCATGTTTGTGGCC